TAAAATACATAAATAAAATATAAAAAGAACAATGTGTATAAGGCTGCATTTGATACTTCGAAGCGTTCTTTTTCTTCTTTCTTCATTGAAAGAAAGGAGAAGAAGAATGTTTCGAGGCACTTGTAGTAAAGTGAGCCACAGCTTAATACATATAAAGCGTCGTCTACAATGGCAGCAGGAGTATACAGTAAAACGTAAGCAGTAAGTTATTGACTAATGGGATTTTTACAATTCAAGAATAATTGATTGTGGTTGGTCAATAGCTTACTGCTTACGTCTTACTGCATACTCTTACTGCCATTACGCATATAATAATATATAATTCAGAAGAGTTTTTGGTACAGATTTTCCTGCTTACGTTGAGTAATCCTGGCGCGCTGGTAATTTCACTATGCTCGTTGCACCAGGGATGGCTTATCGGTGGGGAAACTCTGAGCACCGGCTTCTCCAGTGGGAAATTCGGCGACAGGGAAACCATAATGGCCATTCGTCTATCGCCAGCTTGAAATTCCACCTGATAGTCCACATTTTCTCTGAGCTCTATCACACTGCAAAGCATTTGTTACATTACACTCCGGGCAGGCACCTGCGACCAGTGGAGAGACTTTGAGAGACCAACTGTGACCTTGAGCCAGCATTTAAATTTCTCAACGTCATTAGCTCGTAGCTGTCTTATCTCGGTCGTGAGGCATTCATTCAAAAACGTACGACGTTTTTACGTGACTCGAGACAATGACGCGATTTCGAGAGAGGAAAAAAATCTCAAAGGTGATCGTCGCCGTCACGACGGGGGGAACTCGCGATGATTTTTGACATGCTCGGAAGAGCAGCGCTACGCTGAAGAAACGTGACGGGCAATCCGATTGTTTTTTCGCGGTGTAGTCGACCATTAGTGCCCGTGTTAACGGAGCGCGGTGGTAATGCGGCCCAAGTGAGGTTAACGAGAGAGGTTAAACGTCGTCGACGGGAGAAAGAAAGAGAGAGAAGCCCGCCCTCCCGCGCCCATCGACGACGGGGAGTTCTATACCCTTACTTGTCGTTAAAAATTTTCAGAGTGTCGATTTGCCGTTTGCGTTTGACCGCGACATTCTCGATTTCCCCACGGAATATTCGCGATATCATTTAAGTGCCTGGATTTCCGATGGATCTCTCATCCGCTTGAACGTCGTCCCTGTCAACGCGAGTAACGCGACCATCCAGCAGAACAGCTGTTTTAACCTCGTCGCACTTCGCGCAGAAGGAACGGAGAGATGGGCCCCGATCGGGAATACGGGGGCTGTGACGGGGGCTCGCTTCGACTCGGGACACTCGGGTTACTAGTTGCGCTTGTCAATTGTCAAACAGCGCCACTGTCGCCTTCCTCGCGCCAGAGGGACAGAGAGGGAACCCAGAGAGGGAGAGGAAGAGAGAACAATGAGAAAGAGAAAGAATGAGAGATTAGAAAAAGAGAGAAGCTAAAGAAAGGAAAGTCAGAGAGAGAGAGAGAGAGAAAGAGAGAAGCCAGAAAAAAAAGCCAAAAAAAGAAGTAAGAGAAAGAGAGACTTAAAGCAAAGCACGCGAACGCCTCTACGTCCACATTGAACTATACAGCTGTCTCAAGTCTTCCGTAGATAATACTCCGTGTTTTGACTTCACGCTCGCGGAGCATCGCTTCGGAATATAAATCCGCGATGTTTCCTTTAAATATATTTCTAGAGACGCGTACGTCAAGGTCGCGCAGGCAGGGGATTCTTCGTCTCGGTCAGCAACATCAAATCTGAGAAAGAAAGAGAAGGACATATCACTTCTGCAATGTGTTATCAGAAATAAAGTTTTCCGGCGTGAAAGCTGCGCCTTTCCCGCTTCGCGGAACGATCCAGATTGTCAGATTTATTCTCTCCCCTGCCCCTTTGAAGGACGAAGGACTCCGTCGTGAAGTATCTCGTTGACGGGACGGAGATTTTGACGGATCTCCACGATCGTTGTTGCGTTGGCGCGAGAAGAGCCGGCTGCCGGCGGGCTTTACGCGCCAGCAGGATTCATTCTATAGTTAGATGTAAGTAATCCCCCTCCGAGCGAGCGCTTACAACGGCTTACATACAAGATATCTTTGTTTTCCCCAGAGATTCGCGGCGCTCCGAAAATAAACGCGGAACCGGCGTGTCACGCGCTTGACGTCCTTCCTTCGACGCGGACCGGGGTGCTCGAATGCTCAGGAATCGCGTCATGTCGTCCCTCGTGCAGATAGACGGCAGTTTGGGCGAGGGTGTAAGTACGACCTGGGGAGACGAGCCTCCGAATGTTGTTATTTTGCAAATTAAACACATTGAGTTATATGCTAAGTTTGACAAGTTTATATCTTGAAGAGAGAGCGAGCTACGCTTCAAAGTATTTCATTACCTACATGTCTTTTAAATCTGTTTAATGTTATGGTATGTCTTGTTCTCTGAAATATTTCCTGTAGCGTTTAATTTGTGTGGGTAATAGGTGTGTCACATCTGTCAATGTTAACAGCTGAATCTTTCGCTCTCTTCTCTCCTCTTCCTTTTCATATTTGGCATATAAATCACGACCTCTTGAAAAAAATGCGGTATATAATGCGCAATCTTGATTTTTTCTCAAAGGGTGGACAAGTGTTGAGAGTTGCTCTAAGCTTGAGCACGCTCTACGGCATTCCAATTGAAATCGAGAATATACGCGCTGGAAGGCCCAAGCCTGGTCTCGCGGCGCAGCATTTGAAAGGTAAATGCGAAAGCGGAATTCAATATTTTGCACGTGTGACTCCGTGCGAGATATAAAAAAAAACTTAAACTCTGTGTTGTCCACAGGTGTGGAACTTGTCAAAGAGATGTGCAATGCTCAAGTCAGAGGTGGATACATAGGCTCGACACGTTTGGAATTCCGTCCCGGTCCATTGAACAAGACCAAGAAAACATTTGTAGCGGATACGCAAACTGCCGGATGCATTTGCTTGTTGGCACAAGTAGCTCTGCCGTGTGCCCTCTTCTTTCCGTGCAACGACACGGTCACGCTCGTCCTCAAGGGTGGCACGAACGTTCCCATGGGCCCACACATCGAGTATTTGACGGAGGTGTTCAAACCGATGCTGAACAAATTCGGAGCAGACTTCGATTTCGTGGTCGTGAAGAGGTATATGCACTAAATTTGTCGTAACCTGATTTTTTAATTTATGACTATATTATTCTATTTATACTAAAATTAATGATAAATGGAGGGGATATTATCCGAAGGGCGGAGGCGAGGTGCATTTACGTATAAAACCGGTCAGCAGTTTAAACGCGGTTACTTTAACCGATGTAGGAATTCCTCGGGGAATAACAGGATGGTCTTACGTGGCTGGATCGGTTAACATCAACGTATGTCACTTTAATTGAATCTACAAGTAAATTCTAGTAAAAAGTTAAGTTGATTGTTGATGCTGTACGTTTTATATAGGAGGCACATACAATGGCCAGCGATGCTAAAACGGTTTTAACAAATAAATTAGTAAAAAGCAACATTCGAGTACCACCGATTACGATTGAAGCTTACAGGGAAGACAGAGCGATGGCCGTTGGAAACGGTTCTGGTATTAAGTAAGGAACCTACTTCATTAAAATTTTTTTTTTCCAATCTAATATATCAGATAAAAAATTTTCAACAATGTAAATATAAATGAATATCAGTATAGTGTGTAACACCAGTACGGGATGCGTTCTCGGCGGCTCCGGCTTAGGATCCAGAAACCAAGAGGGACCGCCGCCAGGTGATACAGCGGCTAACGAGATCTTAAAGCCGCTCCTAACAGGGGCGTGTGTCGACGAACACACGCAGGACCAGGTAAATTGACAGCGAGCCCAAAGAGTTTCAACTTTCAGATTAATGCGTCATTTGTTACAGATGATAATTTTAATGGCACTGGCGAAAGGTACGTCGAAGATCAAAGTCGGAGATGAGAAGCTCACGTGTCACACGGAGACTGCTATGCAGATCGCGGAGATAATGTTAGGTAAACGTGGACTTCGTTTCAATTTGTCGAAAAGCGCCGAAGACGGGGATACTTCGTCTTACGTCTTGGAATGCCAGGGATGTGGATTGATTAACGACAGTCTGGTTACGCAATGATTATACGATACTTTATTATAACTTATTGTTGCACATGTAATTATAACAATTTCGACCGAAATATTACGGTCAATTGGCCTTCGCATTTGCCGGTTACAAATAAATTGCAACATCGACGTACATCAACGTTCAAACGTACTTTCGTAAACTTTCAAGAATATTTCTAGAATTTTATAAGAATGTTAAAATTATTTAAATACAGTTCAAGCATCATTATATATACAATTATACACGTACTTTAGTTTTTGTGTGTGCTAAATCATGATTGTTTAATGTACTATACCCTAAAATTAACGCAAATCAAACAAAAAGTTTCGCGTCTCTAAATAAATAAGTAAATATTTACCTCGCATAAAAAACACCCTTATTTTTTACATATACACACTATTATACGTACGGGATGTAATATAACATGTACTGAAAATGCATTCTGATTTTGAAATGAGTCATTTACACATACATCCATAATTTATCATTTACAGACGAATTGTAAGGCAAACATTATTCTTACTTTGATCTGAAAAACGGTTCGATCGCTCGTAAGAATTCCTTCTCAAAGATTTGGCATGAGAAACGACTTACAGATGATCTAAAAAAAAAAAGGAATTGAATATATAGAAGAATTCTTATTTTATAATATCAAATTATATAAAATATTCTTGATTGTATCTCTCTATACCTGGCAGCAATTCTAATAGCATCTCGGTCCTTTGGATGCATTTGTATAATGGACGCCAGTACCTTGGCATATTCCATCTCGTCTTCTGCTAGAAAACCAGTTACACTACCCGCTCGCGTTTCTATGATGTCCGCCCTAAAATGATAGAATATTTATTACGATAAAGAAACTTTTTTTATAAAAAATTTTTTTTACGAAATTGAGTCAGTATATACTTCGGACCACCGGAATTATGGGCCACCATAATCAATCCCGCGGCCATGCATTCCACAATGCTGATACCAAAATGTTCATTCCACATTGTATGCAGACCAATCGTTCCTCCTTGCATCTCGGTTACAAGCTCGGAGTACGGTACATTTACTTTGAACTCGACGTTCTTGTCTAAAGCCAAGTGTTTTGCCAAATCTTGCATATCTTTAACGCGCTTTTCGTCCTCGGCATCTCGACAGGAACCGATGCAGATTAATTTGACCTAAATAGCACGATCAAGTTTAGAATACATTTCGATGCTATTCGGGATGTGAGTCATTAGTTCACCTTTTCCCAAACTTCTTCCTTAAGGATAGATCTTAGCTCGAACATCGCCCTCAACATGAGCGGATGATTCTTCTCCGGCCTGAATTGCGCGATCGCCAATATGCGTACGTAGCTGCCCTTCTCCTCGTCGCTGAGAGCCGGCAGTTCAATCAGGTGCTCCACGTCACACGGGGGATACACTCGATGCGTTTTTAACGGACATTTCCAGATAGCGTTGATATGGTCTTCGGTCCACGTGGAGTTTACAATCGTGATTTCGGAGCAACTACCGACCATTCCGTACAACTGAAACGTTCTACTGTGAAATAGCCGTTTGAAAAGACTTATTCTTTTTTTTTCCTATAAAACGATTTTAATCGGATTTGTCGCTGTATACTTACACGCGCGAATAATTTATAGTAAAGGAATTTCGCTGCCGAGAAGAAAGGATTTCTGGCGATGATCCTTCGATTGTTGTGCGCGATGACTCTCTTGTAGACGTACTTCAACATGTCAGTTGAAATAGTGGGATAATGCGTATACGATCCGACTCGGCAACCACCGATATATTTGAATAAAGGGTACGTGAACGCGTAACCCATCGTGTCGATGTATATATCTGTAATTTGTATAATCATGTGTTATTTGTACTTTTATGTGTCTTTGTTTAATAGAAACTGTAAAATTAGTATATTTTTAGCACACATTTGAAAAAATTTATCACGTCACCTGGTGTAAGATTGTTCAGTGCCTCGATGCCCAGATAAATGGATCCCAGGCTTTGCCCTAAAAGCGTGAAATAAGGATACGTGGAAGCTTCCACCCATTTTCGTCCGTGCAAATAGACAAATTCGATGTTGGACCGTAATTTTATATTGAACGTCTTTTCGGTTCTGCTGATAATCTTTTCGGGAT